TTTCAGCCCCGACACCGCCGTCCGACGCGAGCACGGACCATGCCGTTCCCGTCCCCATACGTGCCTAGATGTAAAGGCAACCACGGGTCCTCAAGCAGACTGTTTTTCGGCCCATAATGCCTACATGGTCTTTTAAATTGAGCTGTTGTGTGATATTATATGACCCTTTTTAAGGCTGGTTTTAAGCTTCACCCTTCGCCGCAATGTGGCAATTGGGTCATTTACTCAATTAAGTAGATCAAGGCCTGTCTGCGGCATGTTGAATTTCCTTCAGTTCTCAGTCTTTACTTGCGTTCCACACCTTTTACCCCCTTATATAATGACGAGAGCCGCGGCAACTTAGGGACCACAATAATTGGAAGCCTATATTTTTTTCCAACAAACGCATTTTCCTATCGAACTCATTTCGATACGAGGTGATAGTTAGAGTGCCACAGTCATGGGGCCTTTCTAATATGCATTTTATACTTCTGTACCTGCTTGGCGCATGTTTTAGAGTTTTTTTTTCGGTGGAAATAACTAAATTGTCCTTTCGACTCGATTTTGACCCATTTATGTCTGACAAACGACCTTGTCTTCACCCTCACGCCCGTTAGTGCGCATGTTTCGTGAGCGTTGTGCTTCATTGTCCTTGCTTACCGGATACAAACGAGATACGTTGTGTAGTAAAGATGGCTCATATACTCCTCTCCATTTGTGTTTCAGTGTCTTGTTCTCACAACCACGAGATTTTTGCCCTTCTCGTCGGCATTACTGATTTTGCACAATATTGGCGGCTTATGCTCATCTCATCATCTTGATCGTCATCACCACTAACTTAATGTTCAAGCGTACACCATCCATGTGAACCCTGTAGAAGAAACTTTATAAAATGCCGCCAATGGTAATTACTTGACTGATTCTTTGCCGCACCAGTCAACAGCTCGAATCAACCCGGACCATCTTTTGGCTGTCTTCTTTTTTCTCAAACTGCTCTGAATTTTATCACATTTGCAACTTAAATAGCCTGCTATGGAGCCGCCTAAGAACTCAAGCGACCCAAGGTTTGATCCCCAAAACTGTCGCTGAGACCTCTTACTCCGATGTTTCTGCGCTTTTATAACGCTAGCTTTGACTAACACGTAAACAAAGTACTTTTAAACAACCCATTGAGGCTCTTTATTGCTTCCACTCTGCGATCGAGCGTGAAGTTGCCTCGTCAATACTTACTTCTTCCTAAGATCTAAAAGTGTTTTGGGGTTTCGACAGAATTTCTGTCGTTGACACTGAAGATGTGGTCCACCTAGCTGACTAACTGCATTCCCTACTAATTTAACTTATTTTGGACACCTCTGTACGTTGTTAAGAGTTCCTTATCCACATGTGTTAGTTTTAGAAATAGGAATTACCGTTTCACTGTCCTTGGTCAACGCTCGAGTATGTCTGGCAGGCGATCACAAGACGTGCTAGGAAAGCTCGCTCTCCAAATCCCTCTAAAGTCTCAATTTATGTATTATATTTCCGACGGTGGCTCGTAGAATGTGTTACGAGCTTCTTGAAGAGGCTCCATAGGTCTATGCATGTAGAAAACCCTTTATGAGAAAGTCATCTCTGACTAAAACATCCCATTTACTTCCCTTCTTCCTATTTATTACAGCATTCACCTCGAAATCTCATGGCACAGGCAAGAGAACTCATCAACTTTATCAACAAATCCC